GAAGTGTATAACGTCGAACGAAAGAAAAACATACAAGACACGGTGAAAACACAAAACTCACATGTCCTTATTAACAGTCTGAGGTCAGAGCCAGCAAACACATCCAACAGAGGTGATCCAAAATACGTAGTCCAGAGGGAAGTCCGATATCATACACTGTGGCAGTCTGAGACAAGAGGGCAAAGCAGAAACGAATATACCAAGGTAACAGTCCGGGTCAGAAACACAAGATACAAAACCGAAGGAAAGCTGGAGAGTCAGAGCTGCGGTCTAGAACAATCTGGCAGCGCCGTTGTGGGAGGACGCTGCCTAAATAGAGGTATAAACAATAAGGAGCAGGCGAAACTAATGCGAGTGATGAAGAACGTAAAAAGACCGAAACTAAGGTGAAAACAAAAACAGGAAGCAACGTCAAAATAAAAGCTGGACCGAATCATGACACATAGCCTGTTAATAGAGAGAGGTTAATCAGATCTAGTATGGATGTGTTGATTAGGGGCAAGCCGTCTTTGAGCAGCCTGGTCGGGATGGGGTCCAGGAGACATGTTGATGATTTAGATGAAGCAATTGTTGAGGTCAACTCAGAGAGATCTATAGGGGAGAAGTAGTCCAAGTATAAATGAGGTCTTACAGATGTTTCTAAAGCCATTGTAGTAGATGGCACATCTGCGAGAGCTGTGGGAGTGGTCCGACCAATTTTTTCTCTAATAGTTGTGATTTTATTTGTAAAGAAGCTCATGATAAATACAATCGGGATGGTCTTTTTTACAATAAACCTACTGAAAACTATCTCTAAAACAACTTCATTTATCAAGATGACTTAGAGAAAATATTATTTCTAAAAGCAGTGGTTGAAAGTAACTTAGTACATTTACTCAGGTAAAGTACTTTAGTACAATTTTGAGGTATGTGCACTTTGAATATTTTCATTTTGTGCTGCTTCATACTTTCACTTTACTACCTTTTAGAGGTAATTATTGTTTTTTTTTTACTCCACTACATTTATTTTTATAACTTTATTCACTAGTTAGTATTCAGAACCAGATTAATACAGAAATTACATTTTTAATCATAAGACTTTATTGATCTCTGTTGGAAAATTCACAAGCTACCCAGCAGTATGTAAAGCGTTTCAAATTATAAACATACTGTATACTGTAAAACTAGCTCTCCCTTTACCAGCTGCAACATTAAATGTGATGTACACAATAATGCATCATAAATTATAACTGAATATTATGATATACTGTACATTAATGCTAATATGCCATTGTGACATCACTTGTAAGGAACATGGTGTAGATAAGCAGTGAGAAGCCAGAAACCAGTCTCACTCACAACAGATCATGTATTATTCTGTTAGTTGATGGAATAAATGTCTAGGTTTTAGTGTGTTATGTGCTCATACTGTCTTAGTTACTGTAAAATGTCAGTTTAACTCTCTGACTCAGTGAAGTCACTAAAGTCGATTTATCAAACAACTGTCAAACTTAAAAACTGAAATTAAAAAAATGCAAAAAGGACAAAAACTCAGGAGAGGTCAGATGTAATCGGAGGCCACTTCATGCACAATGAGTTAACATTGATTAGCACTGTTTGAACATTATCATTTATCACATGAGTCGATCCATGATCAATCAGATCTGAAAAAACAAAACAAAACAGGATAAACAGGTGAGGTCAGCAGGAGCGGATGGTGAGAGGATGAATAGGATGAACACTTTCTGCTTAGTTTGCAAAACATGGCAGTGACAAATACCAAGAAGTGACGTATGTGTGTGTGTGTGTGTGCGTGTGTGTGTCCCTGGCCTCTGCTGGCCCATGTTGACAGGGTATTCTGCTTCTTGGGTTTTCCTGCTTCTCCATTTGAAGTCTTCTTCCTGGAGCCAGGAGACTACTAGCCTCGGTGTGTGTGGGTGTTGGTGTGCATTTGTGTGTGTAAGGAAGAAGGGCCAAAGTAAGTCACCGACCCCGAATGACCAAGTCTCTGCCCCAGCCGAGATGGGGACAGCTTTCCTGGTGCCTGGTTCAGACACGCACACACACACACACACACACACACACACACAAACACACACAGTCTGCTGCTGTCCGCCTCATACTGGCATCTCTATCTAGTCCCTCACCCAACACCTCCTCATTCATACACACTGACAGCAAACGCACAGGGCTCACACATGTTTGCACAGAATAATGGTTATAAACAGGCGCGCACACACACACACACACACACACACACACACACAGAGAGCTGAGTTTTCGCGGGCTCTGGCCTCTGTCACTGTCAGTGATACAGTCTGGCATGTGCAAACACAAATCAAAACATACACTGTTCAATAACAGAGAGCTCACACATGTGTGCACATAATAATGGTTATAAACAGGCGCGCACACACACACACACACACACACACACAGAGAGCTGAGTTTTCGCGGGCTCTGGCCTCTGTCACTGTCAGTGATACAGTCTGGCATGTGCAAACACAAATCAAAACATACACTGTTCAATAACAGAGAAATGGATGAGCTGTGTTTGACTTCTTGGGATTTTTGCAAACATTTCTCCCTATTTTTGGTCAGATTAGACTGGTGGGCATAGTGTTGAAGCAGCGTGAAAGAAGAACGCCAACTGTGTTTTGACTGGCTGAATCAAGACTGGCTGGTTACCAAAAGTCTTGCACAACATGCAACACTTGCAGAAAAAAATCCTCCATGTTTCTTTTGTCATATTTCAGGCTACTGCAGCCCCTCTTTACAAAGCAGCACACAGGCTGAACTTTTGTACATTAAGTGGAGAGCATGAATAATGCCTGACTCACAGACCCATGCAGACGCATTATTAGCCAGCAATTGGTGGCTCTGTTATCAGCCTGATGTTATGCATGGATGACAGTTCCCCTTTTCAGTTGAGACAATATTGCTCTATCTGCCCTGATTTATGCTCAGAAATATTAAAAAACAGTGGGTTAAGATTGTTGAAGATGCTTTCAGGTTTTTATGTGCTCAGTGTCCACTCCCAAACGGGGGTTTTTAAGAGAGCTACTTCATCAACATATTTTACTTCACCTGTTACAATAGGAGAGGCTGCACCTTATACTGGTCTTTTATCAATTTTTAGGTGACCATATCAAAATGAAACACAGATTTTGCCATTGAATAAAATGCACCAGAGGCAGCTGTAACCAGATGATTTACATCTGAGCAGATTAGTCAGCTGACTGTTCTCTCTGATTTGAGATGATTGTGTCAAAACATCTAAAGGATGTGTCTCCTAAAGGACACAGACCTAAGGGTGTCTATCTTCGCTCATGTCTTTTAGCTGCAGGTTTTTTAAATGGCTGAAAACCCCATTATTAATGGAATACAGCCATGTTATCAGTTGCACACCTGTGATTTTTCTGCCATGACAAATTTAAATATTTTCCACTGGAAAGGTCTGTTTAGTGGCAAAGAACATCCTGGTCAAACAGATGGCTATAATCTTAAATCCCTCTACTGTAGACTACTCGCGTGCACGCGCACACGCATTAGCACGGGGA